AATAATTCATTGAGCCAGTGAAATATATACTATTCTCAATTGTCAAAAATATTAAATACTATTGAAAAATATTTTTGTATTGATTTTCCATAAATAAAAATAGTCCCAAAACTTAATTAAATGTAAAATATTTGAATATTTAACTTAAATACATATTTACATTTAAAGAGCTTTAAACAAGTAACAACATTAAAAAGAATTTAGAATAGTGATTGCTACAACCCTGTTTATTGGAATACGGTGAAAAATTATTCTCTATTATATGAAAAAGTTAATTTTGAATTGTATTTTGAATTGCATGCTCACATGATCATTGATTTATAATAAAAACTAATTATAAAATAACTATATCTACCTACTTAGTTAAATAAACTGGACACGAGAAAAAAAAATAGAAAACTATTATTAAAAAAACAGATGATCCTAGTATAGGCATTACAAATAAAATCAAGCAACTACAATAGAATAAAGAAGCATGCTTTAAACAATGTTATCAAGAATATAATAAACCTAACCTAGGTTATAAGAAAAGCAACAAATTGTATATGTATTGGTTATAAAAATTAACTAAAATTAAAATACACATAAATTTACTTACTCATATCTTACACACTGTTGAACGTCATATAAATCACAAAACACATAATTACAAACATTTAGGACAAAGATGCAACACATAGAACACACATAAATTTCTCTGACTCAAGGAGAAAATCCCAAACATTAGAATGAAGTCCCATTTATACCAGTAATGTCGAATGAAATGATAACCAAGTAATTAAATTAAAAAAAAACAAAATTCAACAACAAAATTAAACCCTAAACAACTAATAAATTATGAATAATTTGAAAGGTTAGGAATAAAAATAAATTTAAAGCACTTATTTTATTTTTTAAATACAAGAAAAAATCAAAATTAAAAACATTCATTGCCATTTAAATAACACTGTTAAATTTGTACTGCAATCCAGGCTGAATCAGAAATAAAATTGAAGAAGTCAGTGGATTAATATGTTTAATAATATATTTAATAAAACAATATATAAATAATTTTGTAAATTGTATGACTAACTAGAAAAATACAGAATCACAGTTTATTTTTATATTAATTTTAAGTTCAAATTAACCTAAACATAAAAAAAAGGTGGGCAAGTGGGTGTCGCTCTGCTGTACAGTAGGTTACAAGTGGGTCACTGTATAATGGATGGTATTAAATTTGAATTCAATGATATAATATCATTGTATAAGAAAAACGATTCTGAGCGGTCAGATGTCAGTCTATGTATAAGATATATTATATACATATCTATGGTATTAAACAAAAAATTGACCTATAATAGGTAGGTAGGTACCTACAATAAATTCCAAACTAATCATATCACAATATCCATTAGATACTTATAAATATAATATTTTTCAACTGATATTGTAACAATATATCAGGAGCCTTGTATTAAATTTTTACACTTTTTGGCCCAACAGATAAAACTTAATTGATATTTATAGAAAAAAAAACTAAAAAAATTGAAAACTGAAAATGTCCGTAAACGGCTCAAAAAGTGTCAAAATATTTTCAAAATTGTAGGGTGTATAGGAAATGCTAATATAAACATTCAGTGAAATTTTCATGTATCTACAGTTGTTCGTTTTTGAATTGCAACAAAATAAGGAAATCGCTACATGAGTAATCGAGTGAAAATCCAATGTTGTAAAAATTTGAATTTCAAACGCTCATAAAAATTTAATTTGACTGTCCGGTAGAGATTTTTTTATTGATAAAGGTAGATAATCTTATAAGGAATCTTGTGTTTCATTTTCAAATCTTAGATTTAAAAAGAAAAATTTTTACGAATTCTTAACTCAAAATAATTTGCTAATTTTCGTGATTTTTCCATATTTTGTCAATTTTTGAACTTTAAATGCTTATAAAAAAAATTGTGACTAAGGATTTTTAATATTTTTCATCTGCCTTTGAAACAACATATTAGGAGCCTTCTATTAAATTTTCAAGCTTTCGCAACCAACAAATAAAATTTTATTGAAATTTTTAGAAAAAAAACTAAAAAAAAATGGAAAATGAAAATGTCCGTAAACAGTTCAAAATAAATCAAAATATTTTGAAAATGTTATCGTGTATAGAAAATGCAAATATAAACAACCAGTGAAAATTTCATGTATATACGTTCATTTGTTTTAGAGTTACACCAATAACCAAAATCGATTTTTTGGAAAATCAATTTTGCGTAAAAATTCCCGTTTTTCCTTAATTTTTATGTTGTTTTTCCCGGCGCTTGTGAAAACTACTGGGAAATTTAAATTTTGACCTCCCCAATGCACCAACGATATTCACTTTCCAATCGAACAAGATACTGAAGTCGAAAATCGAAGCATTATTTCGACTACTTATCGTGTACACAGATACAAAAAAAATAAAAAATAAAAAAATAAAAAAATAAAAAAACACACATCATTGTAAAATCAATACATTCATCGTTTCACTCAGAATCTAAAAATCTGTGCTTATGTATATTTTTAGATTTTTTGGTTACAGAATTAACTACTTACATGGAATGTCCTTAAAATGTTCAGTCCTTAGTTATAAAAGTTGAACATTTTATACATTTTCAACTACAAAATGATTTGATAAATATTGTCAAACTTCAAACTCTTATAAAAAAATACTGTGGATAATACAATATAATACAATGTATTTTCAATATTATTCAACCACTATTGTGTCAATAAATCAGGAGCCTTGTATTAAATGTTCAATCTTTTTGATAAAGTTTTATTGATAATTATTATAGTGGGTAAGTGAACTCAGTACACTCGAAATAATTTTAACAATTTTGTTATTTTTACGTATTTTCGCAACATTTGAAATTTTTATTTTTATTTTTATATTTCTTGATTTCTAACATTATAATTAATTATAATAATTAATAACGCATTAGTTTAAACTTTATTATATCCTAATAATTTATGATATACCTACTACATAAAATATGTATGTTTGTTATATAGTCGTATAATATACTTACTACTTCTGGTTCACAATGTATTAAATTGTATGTAGACATACAATAACTTGAATTAATAAACTTTATTGTGAGGTTTTTTTTACACACTTATTTGAGTTATTATAATATAAATGATATGATGATGATGATAATGACACATTTGTTCACATTTTAATAAACAGAGTATAGTTTATTTATTTATTATAAGATTAATACCGAACGGCTTTTATAGAAAGGTATACAGTATATACATATTTAAATACAGATTGATAACAGTACAGATTTAAGTACAAACTCATTGTATGAGATAAACAAAATGTATGAGAAAACCATAAGAACGTAGTTAATGTTGATTGTCCAACATAATATGATTATGATATGAGTATTTAAAGATATTTATAACCTTTTTATAAATGCACTTTAAATACTTATACCTAAAATCGATTTTTCTCTATATTTATTTTAATTGTGCAAAATAAATACAATGTGTGTATTTTAAATACAACCATTCTGACAATGTAGTTATATGACGTCTAGCGTGAAACACAGCTTATATATTATTTTAAACATGAAACCACTTGTTCGACAACATTTTTTAGGCAAACAAAATTATAATTTTTTAAAAATATGGTTGAATAAGAACAGTACATGGGTTACATGGTATAGTTTTTAATTAAGAACACTTGTCTAATAAATACACTTAAACATAGGTAAATAGTAAATACAATGAATATATAATAACCTCGTATTATCCATTAAATGTAAGACACTCATTTCTTCGGAAAAAACATTTTTGAAAATATGTAATTGACATAATTTTAAGTAGTTACAAAACAATATTTTTGAAAAAAAAATTATATTTTTTACTGGTAGTATTATTCCATAAGCCATTACAAGTTATTTTACTCTTTTAAATTAAAACATTCATTCTTAATTTTATATTCCAAATCATAATATTATTTGGAGCTTAACAAACTATAAAAATTAAATTTCGAACCAGTACCTAGTTTGTTCATTATAACTTATAAGTAGAGAGCGTAGATTTGGGTTTTACATATTTTTATTGGCTTTATGCAACTTTACGAGGATGAAAAATGTGGACGATTTATTCATCACAATTAGTAGAAAAAATTTATTATGCATATTAAAACATATTTTGGACATTAAAGAATATTTAGCCAATTTTTCATATTTTAGAATATATTCTATTATCGTTCATAAAAAATCATATATTTTGTAAATTATTTGATTTACGAATAATAAAAATGAAAAATCATTCAATTCTACTTTCATTCAGATGTACTCGTTTGTAATCAAACTCTGTGATTGTCTGTGATTGTACAATAGGTTATCATATTTAATAACTGATAATGTGATCAGAATGTATTTTTAATAATAAATTTTTTTTTACTTTTATATTTAAATAATTTATATTTTACTAAAAGAATAGACCATGCAAGTTATTTATTGTTTTTATTGAACTATTTTAGAAAAAAAAAATCATATCATCTGCATATTTTCAAGTTTAAGAAATATTTAGAGAATATTTTAGGGTTTTTTTTAGAACATATTAGCATCATATTTTAAGCTTGTATCTGTATAAGCGTGTATGTTATTTTAATAAATCTAAGGACTCTAAAAAATATTCTGCCTTAAAATATTTAGCTAATAATGAATGTTATAATTTCAAAAGTTAATTATATAAAAATAGTAAAAAGTATATTAGTTTGTTAATAGATCTAATTTTTAAAAATTATAATAGAAATTAGAAATTATTAGAAATTATATAAAAATTATTAATAGTTTTTTTTAAATAATGAGGGTCTTACATTACAATTTAGAAAAACCCAGTTAACAAACATTCTGTTTAAGACTTTCAATTATTTTGGTTTTAGATTCAGTAATTTTGCACGATTCTTGATATTTCTCTTTTCAGGCAGATTACAAATTAACATCTTCTGAACGATCTTCATAATTGAGTTACCTATTGGTATTGGTAAATCCATCAATACCAGAACATTTCTTAATACCATCAACTTTTTCTAAAAGATTTTGTAATTCATTTTTTGATTTAATATGCTTTTTATATTTGTAGTTCATTCCATATATTTGTATTTTTGGTAAAAGGCTATTATAAAAACAAATTTTTTTCACAGTTTTATAAGAACTGTCTCGTTGATAAAAAGAAGTTGTATTTTGTACACTATCATATACACTCCTCCAAAGTTCACTAGGAAGTACAATAATTCTAGAAATCTTATTAATAAATCTGTGATCTTTTACCGTAACAACTTCTGTATCGTCATCATCAATTATTATACATTGAGAGGTATTTGCACCATTATATGGGTTAGAATCATGGGTATCTGATTTTCCGGCTAATGAAAAACATTTTGAAATGACTGGAGTCTTTATTCCAGGCAATACAGATGAATTTGATTTACTTGTGGAAGAGATATGTTTCAAATATGTAATTTGATTGTCAATTAATTCTGGATTAGTTACAACATTATAAGACAATTTATCTGGCATTTTTAAGGTTGAAGTTGCTTCTTGTTTATACTGTAACAAACATTGTTATGATATATTATTTACAGAATTACTTGAAGTGGATGGAAGACTGTATATTAAACTAACAGATGGACAACTATTATTTGTGGTTGAGGATAGATTAGGTTGAATTTGAAATTTGGTTGTATTGTAATATTTATAGTATTACATATTTATTTTTATAGTATATGTACTAAATATACTAATCGACAGTATTTTGTTAAAAGGGCGTATAACAGGGAACGAATAAAACTGATTAAATATTAAATTTTTAAAATAAAACATTCATTAATACATTATATTAAACATGAGACTCCATGGAACTAAAATATCTTATTAAATTGCTTAATTTAAATTTATATTTTATGTTATATTAATTTTTTTTTTTTTTAAATGTGGTGTAGGCTCTTTTCTTAATTTGAATTTTATAATAGTCCTGCTAAAAACATAATAAAAGTGGTATAAGTCCTTTTAATATTTTCATTTCTACAAACGCCCTTTTAATTTTATACAGTATTAGTATATATATACATTATACTATATTGTATGTGTCGAATTATCGTGGAATATCTTTGTTGGACTCGGCGTATAAAGTACTGTCAATGGCATTACTAAGAAGACTAGAAGTATATGCAGAAGAAATATTAGCAGAATACTAACTGGATTTAGAAGAGGAAAGTCTACCACCGATCATATTTTTACATTAAGACAATTAATGGAAAAATTTTATAAGTACAATAAAGATCTTCATATTCTGTTCGTAGACTTTAAACAAGCATACGACAGTATAGACCAAGAACAATTATGGATTGCACTTAAAACATTTTAGAATACCTAAGAAAATCGTGAAACTAGTTGAAATATGCAACCAACAGAACTTCTGCAAAGTACGCTTCATGGGAGTTACATCTGAACATTTTTAATGTAAAACCTTTTAAGACAAGGAGACGCATTATCGCCAGTACTTTTTAACTTGGCGCTTGAAAAAGTGATAAGAGACATCCGGGAGGAACATGAGATGGAAATAATTGGGGTTAACACACTTTTAGCGTATGTAGATGACATCGTCATTCTAGGGATATCCCAGAAAGGAATTGAAGAAAAGGTAAAGAAACTATTTATAGCTAGTCATAATATGGGTTTATTAGTTAATGAAGCCAAAACAAAATATATGGTTATGTCAAGGCAGGTGACCCTAAAGAATAATATCAAGATAAATGGATACTCATTCGAGCATGTGGAAGAATTTAAATATCTGGGTGTAAATATTAACGAGAAAAATAATATGCACCAAGAAATCAAGCTTAGAATGTGTGCAGCTAATAGAAGCTATTAAGCTATGAAAGAGATGTTCTCATCAAAGCTTCTGTCACGCCGAACGAAGGAGGTTATATATCACATATTTGCGCCCCATAGCAACATATGTATGTGAAACATGGGCAAGTACAAAAGGAGATGAAAAAAAACTCTCAAGCTTTGAAAGGAAAATTCTGAGGAAAATATATGGGCCAGTGTATAATGTGAATTCAGGGATATTCGAAAGAAGAAAGAACAACGAGATACAAAGACTTTTTAACAATCTAAGTATATGCCAATTTGTTCGTAGTAAGAGAATAGAATAGGCAGGCCACGTGTGGCAGGCAGAAGGATGCCTCATACGGAAGGTTATGGTGGAGAACCCAACTGGAAAGAGACCCCTGGGGAGACCACGTCAGAGATGGTTTGATTCGATGAAGAGAGACCTATCAAAAATAAACAACACCTTCAGCATCGACATGGCAACGGATAGGGATCAGTGGAGAAGGATTGTGGAAGCGGCAAAGGACCTCAATGACCCGTAATAATAGGCCAGAAGAAGAAGAAGAAAAAGATATTGTATGTAATAACTTATTGGTTTATTGTTAACTAATAATATGTAATTGGAGGGAAATTTGTTATCAAGTGTTACCAATACAAGTGATGTTTAGTGTGTAACCTAGTAAAACCACTTTGTTCAATCTGGTAATATAGAAACAGTCATAATCATAATTATTGTTATGAACTGTGTAGGTTATAAACAATTAGCATGCACTCGATGTGGTATAAGCCCTTTTAACAGTTCTGTGTAGATTATTTTAATTTTTAAAAGAACATCTGCATATCTTGTATTTGGTATTGCTATCTTATTTTTCCGTAGATGTATACGTCTTACCAGAATATATTAGTGATTTTTCTGAAAATTTCAACACCAAAAACGTATTTTTAGATTTTCAGTGATAAATAGCCTTTTAACAAAATACCGTCGTAATGTACTATTACTTTATGTAATTTTAAGTAAATTGTAACTGATAATAACCGATCCCCCAGCACAAGCTTGGCTCATAGGGGGTGCTGCAATTTAATGTTGATTGTATATATTGAAATATATCACCTATGTTTTTCTTATTGTCTATTAAGACTTATATATTATTATTACCTTAGTAATTGTTAACACTGGTGCTAAACCGCTTTCAATTGCGGGTTGAATATTGTCATTGGCAATGCACGCAGGAATTTGTCTCTCAAATGGTTCAGTGTGGAACTTCGTTATATTTTCATAGCTTTGTACCTTTCTGTAAAATTCTGAATCTATGTAATCACTTTCTTCATAATGAGCCAATTTTTAAATATTTAAATAATTGTAAAACAAAATCTTGTCTAATAAAATTTCATTAACTCACCTTAAATGATTTTCTTCCCTCGGTAAAAATTCATTAGTACTAGTTTCATCATCATTACTTTGAGTGGTGTAACTATATAAAAAAATAAAACATTAGTGAAATTAAAAAATTAAACCTGGAGAACAAAAATCATTATAGGGAAAACCATTTGTATCATAATTTTAATCAGAAGGCTAACTATTATTTTTAAATAATATTGTAAAAACTAAATCTTCCCAAGTACAATTTGCATTATCTTACCTTAAACAATTTAGTTCTGTTGGTAAAAATTCATTGTTGCTCATTAAAACATCATTACTTTGAGTAGAACTATATAAAAATAAAAATATTATTTACAATGAAAAATTAAACTAGAGATCAAGAAACATTACTTGGAAGGAAAACAATTTTTGTCATAGCCATGGGGGATAGAATTTTTTTTTAAATATCTCTTTCGTCCTGCCCTATAGTTTTCTTTTGAAAAATGATCACTACATATATGATCAGAATCATTACAATAACCAATTCCATACACTTTAAGCCATTGTTTTCTTCGGTATTCATTCTTGGGAAACCTATATTAAAACAAATATCAATGAATATAATAATTGCTAATGACAATCTAACACAAAGTGGAAATTCACTGGGCTCAACCGGTTTAAAATCATCACACATTATCGAGCATTGGAATAATGAACCATGCTAGTGATAACGGTGCTAAAATCCAAGTGTGATTTTCTCACACTAGTTTGAACGAGAGAATTTCCAGAAAACAATAGATACTCACAAATGATAAGATATATCAAGACGATTGGTGCTCGTAGAAGAATTACTGCACACTAGGCACTTAGGCATTATTAAAACTTAGCGTATAATAAATTATCAAAAACTTTAAAATAATTAATACAAAAGTGCAAGACCAATTCTATGCAGTTGGAACTTGGATGAAATAACTCGATCGATGGACGTGTCACTTGTCAACCTCGATCACTCGGTTTCGGGATTTAAACGACACGTAGGTACTGCACTCCGATACTTGTGTTTTGGCGTGTACGTTTTCTTGTAGATCCGTAGAATATCGAAATGACTGGGTCTTCCGTGTCGAGGTATCGTCCTTTTCAATGGTATGCTGTAAGCATATTATATATTGGTATGTTTACATCACCTAGAACTTTATAAATTACACGAATGAAACCAAGAAAATAGTTCGAGTTGAAAACAATAATTAGTCTTTATACCACAACGGAAAAATCCAGCGTCCTATTTCAATGACATGTGTCGTACTACGTATTGTTTATCACGCTTATCACGTTTATATTATCAGTATATCGTGCACGGCCGGAGATTAAAATACTATCTAATACCACAGATTATATCTGTGTTTACAACCGTTGTAGCCCGAAAGAAAAATATCATCATATCTCGGCTGGAATAATATACAAACGTCAAACGTCAAACACTGAAACACCTCATTATCACTCTGGCCGTCGAATTTGATTAAATAATAAATTTTATATTAGAGTGTCGGCATCAGCTCTTTATCCAGGAAAATTCCGATTTTATAGTAATCTCAAGACGACAATTCATAATATATAAAACCTAAAATTGTAAAAATTTTTCAAAATGTTATTCATCCAACTAACGATTGTCGTTTACGATAGTTGTAAATAATCGACGTTCGTAATTGCTGTCGATAGGTAGATATGCTATGCCCAATAATTACTACCTACGACAATATGGAAAACTGGAATACCTACTCGTCAGTTTTCATAATGTGGTAATAATTAATGTAGGTACGATAATATAAGAAACACGAAAAGATTTGGGTAAAGGCACTAATAGGTAGGTACTGCTATAGGTAATAATCAGGGCTCGTAAGTTCGTGCATCTGCATGTTTTCTTTGGTAGGTACACATTAAAACATGCTAACTCAGATACAAATCCGTTTCATAACAATAGTAATAATAATATGAAGTTTGATACCTACTTGATAGAGCATGTTTTTGCATGTTATGGGTGTAAAGGCATATTTGGAATATAAGGCAACAGTCGTTAGTGCATACATATTATTTCATACAAATATTTGAAAAGTTTCTTATTTACTTTCCTGTTTACAAAATTATAGTGTTTTGATTTATTTTTATTCTAGTTTGAGTGTATGACTACCTAGTGTCCTAACTCCTAGTACCTACATACCTATATAGATTTTATGCGTTTTACGTAGACAAAAAACTTTGTCATGGTATAGTACCGTTTAAACAATGTAATCGCTACCACTGCCATTCTCCACCGTACAATGTTCGTCGTCGAAACGAACCTGTACAAGCATATTATACACTCGTGCAGCTTCTCACCAACCCGAATTTATAATTTTGTACATTGGTACAAACATTTTTTCTCGAACATTTATTGGTAGACAATCACCGAACTTTTAAGTTGGAAAACATGAAAAAAAAACACTACCTATCATGATTTTTTTACATAATGCCTATTTTGAGTGCATAATTTAATATGTTATGGCATATAAATGCATATTTTTGAACTTATTAGTGCATATTTTGACAATTTTTAGTGCATGCATGCTTATTTAAGCATTGTTTAGTGTTTGAAGTTACGAGCCCTGGTAATAATCATTATTATTTATTATAAGGGCTTTCATCGATAGGTAGGTAGGTACTCGAGTACCCGTATAATATTATTAATATTGTTTAATAACCTGTATGGCTGTATCATCTTAGAATTATGTTCATATTTCATGCTGGGTTCATTTAAAATAAATATTTTGTGTACATTTGCTTATCTACTGTAATGTTTAACATATTTTATAATTAAAAAAATAAAATTTAAAACGACTATATTTCTACTTATAAGTGCTGGAATATTGTATTTATTTATATAAAACATTTGTATTTTACAACTAGATTATTCTAAATATATATAACCTACATTTTAATAACAGAGTGAACTGTATGAATTATATTATAAATGTATAGTGCACTATTTGTTTTATTTATATATAAGTACAACAGTATTTAGGTAGGTAGGTATTTTTTTACTACAATTTTTATTATAATATAAACCTAATAACCTTATTTTAAGTCTTAATAATATACCCATTACAAACTTGGATTTAAATGGTTAAAACGTTTATGTATAAAATGTCTTAAACAAAACCACTTGTTTAAAATGCTTTAAAAGCACGCCTACATAATTTTTGAAAAACACTTCAAAACACTTCCCGGTCGTGGACGAAAGGAACAAACACACGAACCATCATTATTTGGTCACACTTAACCATACCCAACATGACCGTTGCGAATTCCTCGTTGTACACGATTTCGTTGGATTTTTCGCGGTTGGGCGATCCGTTCACGTTCCCTTTGGTGAACATGTTACCGATAAAAACGACAAACGGGACGTGTGCAAATATATTGTATACGCTTTGCCCTAGTACTTTGCACACTTGGAAATCTGTTTCTTAAACATGACGTTTATGTATTCCACGGTCGTTGTGAATTGACATTTTCAGATACTGGAAGAACACTGAACAGGTAGAAGAAGCGATTAAGCAATTAAACGATTCAGCGAAGAAGTTGAACATCTTATACATTTTTAACTACAAAATAATTATTCAATTTTAAATTTGATACATTTTGTCAAAACTTGATCTTTAAATGCTTATAAATAAAAATTGTGCCTATGATATTGTAACAATATATCAGGAGCTTTGTATTCAATTCTTACACTTTTTGGCAGAACAAATAAAACTTTATTGATATTCGTAGAAAAAAAAATAAAAAAAAATGAAAACTGACAATGTCCTTAAACAGCTCAAAAATATTTTGAAAATTTTATCAAGTATAAGAATTGATAAAATAAACATTCAGTGAAATTTGCATGTATAGAGTCATTCGTTTTTGAATTATATCAAAATAAGAAAATCGTTACATGAGAAATCGAGTGAATAAAAAATGTTGTGTTTAAATGAATTTAAAATGCTCATAAAAATTTAATTTGACTTTTTTACAGACATTTTTTTTTGATAAAAGTAGATAATCTTATAAGGAATCTTGTATTACATTTTAAAATCTTAGATCTAAAAAGAAAATTTTTTACGAATTCTTAGCTCAAACTAATTTGCTAATTTTCGTGATTTTTCCATATTTTGTCAATTTTTGAACTTTAAATGCTTATAAGAAAAATTGTAACAAAGGATTTTTAATATTTTTCATCTGCCTTTGAAACAATATACTAGGAGCCTTCTATTAAATTTTCAAGCTTTTTTAACCAACAAATAATTAATTTAATTGATATTTTTAAAAAAAAAATTACAAAAAATGAAAATGAAAATGTTCCTAAATAATTCAAAATAAATCATAATATTTTGAAAATTTCATCGTGTATAGAAAATGCAAATATAAACAACCAGTGAATATTTCATGTATATACAGTTTTTATTACTTAGGTACAATATTAATACTATAAACCTACTTATTTTATTTTTAGGTTTTTTAACACATTCACTGCGTGAAATAATTAGTTGGGACACGTTAGATGCGTCACAAAATATATCGATGTTCGCTAGGAGCAAGCCATAAATTCGGACATTTTAATTAGTGTCGGAAAAATCAACAAAATAAGTTATTTATAAATGGATTGGACTGAAATAACAAGAAATTTCTATGCAGAGGCGTGTGTAAAAAAAAAACATTACTCTAGTGCGTCTCTATTTTATAGCACATTTAATTCAACGGACCTGATGTCGGCTATATCCGACAGGCGCACCGTGAAAAAACCGGTCCGTCAGATATAGCCGACAAACGTAGCGATTGTGTTAAAGATATGAACACAGTATATGAAAAACCAATATTAATAATAATAGAAGATTTCGTGCTATTTATTGGCTTCCTGGCGGTGTGCAATGATTCAAGTCATACAGGTGTGTAGTAGTAACAATATATTGGATTAATTGTACTAATAATTGAAAAATATTTTTAAACTTTGTGGTTATAACTACTAAACTACTTCAAACATTTTGTATTTTATAGAATTTTATAAAAACTATTATTCTGTAGAATATTCATTGAAAATATAACCTTTCTACTTAATTCATATAACAAAAATTTATATATATTAAAAAATTGTTTTAAATTAAAGTTTAAAAGAATAAACAAACAATTTATATTTAGTGTAACCCTAAAAAATATAAGCGAATATTAATGACATTTTCTCTGAATGTTAATATTCGCAATTTCTATGCACCATGAAAATTTTATAATAGCAGTTAATAATTATTAAGGATGAATAGGCATAGTTTTTTTTTTTTTATAAGTACCTATATATAAGCTTAAATATTAACAACAACATTTATCAAAATATTGAAAACTTTCAAATTTACTGTAGTTCAAAAATGATAAAATGTTAATTTTTTATAGCTAGTGATTGAACATTTAAGGTGATATGATGAAATTACATATTTTAACCAAGAATAATGATTTTAGTTATTTTTTGTAATTTAAAATTATTATTTGTGGGTAAAAATATTATTCTATATTAAACAAAAAAAAAAAACAAATATGAACTTGGTTTTAAAAAAATATAATACTATATTATTTTTAATATATGACCATAATATAACAACAATTAAATATAATATTGATTTTAAGTTCTTAATTTATTATGCCTGTATTATTTTTAGGGTTTTGTTGATCCAATAATATTGGGATTGTGTATAGCTATAGTGGTGTGGCTGCTTTCATTACAATTTCAATTTATTTAATTTGTGCAAGCTATATGACGCGTATGCTTTAGTATAAGTATATTAATAATATATGTGTTATACACGTATTGATACA